CCCTTCCTCAGAACTGGAGTTCTGAGGAAGGGTCACCGGACCCGAAACGTTAACTCTGTTTTCTCCTCCACAGATGCTGCCAGACCTGCTGAGCTTTTCCAGCAACTTTATTTTTGCTCCTCCTTTATACCTGTAGTTATTCCTCTGCAAGCAGCGGAATAAAGATAGTTGTAAAGTCACAGAAAGGTTATGGCACAGAAGCATCATGCCTGCACCAGTTAAGAGTTAATCCCATTATTCCAATATGACCCAATTTGTTTGGATTCTTCCTCATGCAGAATGCATTGAAGGTAAGGTGCTCACCCTACAGGAAAGAGGGAGCCAGCACCCGGGCAAAGATGGCAGAATTGCAACAATACAACCATTGTGACGACTAATTTCAAATGGGGCAGAGGTAATGTCACTGTCACTGGGGTGGGCAGAGTCAGATGTCGGGAGCACCCAAAATCCATCCCATTCCAGTCATTTAAATCCCATCTTCTTTGCTGTTGTGGGAGCTAATGTTGATGCTGTGGAGGTGGAATGTGATGCCAGGCCTTCCCACATCTTCATTTCAGGCAAAACTGCAGAGAAAACCCAGTTTTAATTTCTTTTGAAGAATAGAACATTGAGTAAGGAAATGGTTACAAGGAACTGTTGGTATCAGTTTCCCTTCTCCTCCTGGGACATCTTGCTTCATTAGTATTGCTGGGTAAATGTAAGTTGTTGTTGCTCTGAGTAATCTACTTAAGGTACCTCAGGTTGCCAGTTTAACCTGAAGGAAACATTGCTCTCTCAAGATGCTTCTCTAACATTGTTATATATCGTGCCAGGGAATTTTTTAAATAGTGAGCTGCTGTTTAAGCCTCCCATTATTAATTTGCATATATATATGCAAACTAAGGACAGGAGTAGGCTTTTGCACCCTTTCAGACTGTTCTGTCATTCAATCTCTCTGACTGAATTTGAAATTTTAGCTTGTTATGATCGCTCTTTCCTAGATGATCCTTTACTAGCCTGCTAATTGGATAATAATAGACAAAGTCAGAAGTCACATGACACCAGGTTACAGTTCAACAGGTTTATTTGAAATCGTAAGCTCTTGAAGCGCTACTCCTTCGTCAGGTGAAATATCTCCTTCTCAGTCCAGTTTAGCTAGCTTAGTCTTCACATTTGACATCCTTGCATGTCTTTATCTACATTTAAAATATGAATTTAAGCTCATCAGCCATTTCATCACTGTTACCTAGAGGTTTCTTCACTGTGGGGCCATTAATTAATCCTGAATCACATCACCAAATCTAGAGCCATTCCCTGATTGGCTCTAGAATGTGCTGTTCTAAGAAACTGCCCTCCAAAAACTCCATGAGCCCATCTTCCAGGTACCCTTTCATCAATCCCATTCATCCAATCTATTTGTGGATTAAAACATCCCATGATTACTGCCACGCCTTTCTCACAAGCCCCCATTATTTCTTCCTGGATGCTCCACCTTGCTGTTAGGACATACACAGACTATGTTCAGATTCTTACATTTGATGTTTATCTCTATCTGAACTGATTCTACAGCTTGATATTTAAAACTAAGGCTATCTCTCATTATTGTACTAATACCATCCTTAATGAACAGAGCAATATCATCATCTTGTCCTAGTTTCTTGTTCTTCTGAACAATCCAATATTCTTGAATATGCAAGTCTCAGTTCTGGTCATCTTGCAGCCAGATCTCTGTAATTGCAATCAAGTCACACACATTTGTATCTATTTGAACTGATTTATCCATTTTGTTACAAATCCTGCACAAAGTTGCATACAGAGCTTTTACTTTTGTTCTTTTAGTATTTTTGCCAATTCTGGCCTTATTTACTGGTGTAGTCTTAAATTTGTATGCTCTGTCACCCTTTTGCAATCTCCCTATTAGCATTTTTCTTGGTTTTATCTTGCTATATTCCCTTGGTCTTTCCAGTTAACCTACCAGATCGTTGGTCATATTATCCCACCTTCCCACTGTTTCAGATACAGCCCTCTATACCACCCTAGTTAAATAACTTGCTGGACAGCTCCCATTTTCTCAACACTGAGCCAATATCCAATAAATCCAAACCCCTTCTTCCAACACTGTTGTTTGAGCCTCTAATCAACTCTCTAATGCTAATGACAAAATTATTTGTTCATGGTTTGCTTTTGTTCCAAAAATAGAAATTATCCATTAAATTAATATAACGTATTACAATACCATGAATACTTAACATAAGGTGAAAACTAAATTGTTTCTTCCAATGCTGTGCAAGACTACAGTTATAATTGCAGGATTGACCATATTTTCAGCAATCTTTGTTTTAACCGGCATGTTATGAACCAGCACTGGATAAACTGGCAAAAATTATATGCTTCAAATACCAGAAGTATTGTCGTAGTCTCTGCAATGTTCAAGTAGTCAGCTGAGGGAGCGAGTGAAAATGCTGTCTGCCAGTAAGTTTTATTTAACGCAAAGTTGCGTTATTATTTAAGTGGTTTATGCTGTAAATAAAGTATAACAGTAATGTGTATACCCCCTGCATTATGTTTCTATTATTTAGTGTGTATTTTACATTGATTTTTTTTTTGTACTTCTTGATTATTTGGAATATTTGATCAACCTGCACACTCCTGGTCCCATAGGTGTCGGTTAATAAAAGGTTTGCTGTACTACATGTCGAACATGTGGCGCGAAGGGTTTTCCCATAATTTCCAGCCCCTGGGTTTTCTGTGGCTAAAGGGTCTTAGACAGTGTCTTCCACCACTGTCTCTTTTCAGCAGCATCAGCAGACTGTCCTGGACCTTGGTCAATGCCAATCTTCAATGCTTGGGTCATGGACAACACTGATGCACTGGAACAACAGCAAGTTTTGGTTACTTGGCTTGTAGGCTGGATTACTGGGCTCCTTACAATAGAAGCAGTTTTTGACAGTGAGCTCTTTTACTTCCAATGGTTCAATTTACAGGCCAAATAAAGTCTAGAGCAGACACCTTTCTACATTTAAGTGTAAGTTATCAAGCAAAATAGCACTGCAATTCTGACAGGCAGAAAATATCATATTACCACTTCGACTAGTGGCGAAACTGGAAACTTTAACGATCAGTTACAGTTTCCCAGTGTCAAAAGTCTTCCACACAATTCGGTGCTCTCGCAATACAAAGAAAGAATGATTAGCTACATATTGAAGATTTGCCCAACGTAAGAACATTTTGATCAAGGTTGCAGTATGATAGAGTGAAATACCATTCCAAGCCCTCCCTCGGTATTTCCACTTAGTCTGGATTAGATTTAGCCAGCCCAAATCCCAGTGCACAAAGCAAAAATAAAAATATGTAATCTGAGTTTCAAGGAGGCCTCTGAAATGTTGAAGTGAGTTGATTAAAGAAATATACACAATCCAAAGTGCTATTGAATTGGGCAAAGTTGACAGTATTTTAAAATTCCAAATTCCTTTGCATTGAGCCACTGACCTGATATCTAATCTCTGCTCCATTCTGATCTTGCCCCTTTTGGCCATTGAAATAACCTTGAGAAACCTTTGCTTTCTGTGGGCTGTTTAAACATCACAGAAATGTGTTTCTTTTCCCATCCCCATTCAGAGACTTGAGCATGGACTCGAACAAACCAGGACCGTCTGTTTGGCACAAGCTTTTTACAGTCAAGGGCTGTTGATTAGTCAGTGTTTGTAGAGTTGAACTTCGACACAAGTTGATCTCTATAAAATCACTGCATTTAGACTCAATGCATAGAATCAGTTTACAAGGTACCTGACTGAGGAGCAAATAAATGAATACCTGCTCAGCAGCTCTTCAATTATGGCTCCCAGTTTAGGTTCTGCCTTAATATTTAATTCCTTTTTCTCCTGGGATGTTTGAAACTGAGAATACTTTTAAAATCAAGGAAAGTAATGCTTTCTTTTTTTCCTTAAAAATAAATCTTTTTCTATAGAGATTGCAGTGCCAATGTGAACACAATACCTGCGGGGAGAGCTGCAGTGAGTGTTGCCCTGGTTACCATCAGAAACCATGGCAGTCTGGAACCTTTGCTTCTGACAACACTTGTGAGAGTAAGTAAATATATCTCAATGCATTTAGTTGAAGGCAGAGACGATAGGTGACACAGCTCCTATTTCAAGGATTGGTGTTGGGTTCATTGCTTTTTGTCGTTTATATAAACGATTTGCATGTGAGTTTAGGAGATATGGTTGGTAGGTTGGCAGATGATGCCAAAATAGGTGGTGTAGTGGACAGCGAAGGAGATTATCTCATAAAGTACAACGGGAGCTTGATCAGATGGGCCAATGGGCCAAAGAGTGGCAGATGGAGTTTAATTTAGATAAATGTAAGGTGTTCCATTTTGGTAAGGCAAACCAGGGCAGGATTTTGTACTGTTAACGGAAGGGCCCTCGGGAGTGTTGCCGAACAAAATGACCTAGAGATGCAGGTGCATAGTTCCTTGAAAACGGAGTCGCAAGTCGACAGGATGGTGAGGAAGGCGTTTGGCACTCTTGCCTTCATTGATCAGAACATTGAGTGTAGAAGTTGGGACATCATGTTGCGGCTGTACAGGACATTAGTGAGGCCACTTTTAGAACACTGTGCACAATTCTGGTCGCCCTTCTATAGGAAGGACACTGTTAAACTTGAGAGTGTGCAGAAAAGATTTTCAAGGATGTTGCCAGGGTTGGAGGGTTTGAGCTGTAGGGAGAGACTGAATAGGCTGGGGCTATTTTCCCTGGAGCATCAGAGGCTGAGGGTGACCTTGTAGAGGTTTATAAAATCATGAAGGGCATGGACAGGGTGATTGGCCAAGGTCTTTATCCTAGGGTGGGGGGGTCCAAAACTGGCCCAAACATAGGTTTGAAATGAGAGAGGAAAGACTTAAAGAGGACCTGAGAGGTAACATTTTCATGCAGAAGGTAGTGCATGTATGGGGCATGCTGCTAGAGGATGTAGTGGAGGCTGGTACAATTACAACATTTAAAAGGCATCTCGATGGGTAAGTGAATAAGAAGGGTTTAGAGGGATATCAACCAAATGCTGGCAAATGGGACAAGATCAGATTGGGATGCTTGATCAGCGCAGACGAGTTGGACCGAAAGGTCTGCTTCCCTGCTGTATCACACTATAACTCTATAACAGCCCTCCAGTATAGCAGTCAGGCAGTGTACATACTCACTCTCAGTCAGATTTGTGCAGTTCACCAGCTTGGCAAAGGCCAAAGAATCATCAGACAGTGGCCCTGCCTCAAAGGTGTTTCGTCCTTTTATGTAAAGAGAAGTAATTTAAAGTCGATGCTAACCCATTTTCCCCACCCTCCCAACCATCACTGACTTGGCTACCCACCTACCACTCCATGATTATAAGGCCTGCTTATTGCTGCTGATATGGCCTTCTGGCCTAGCCCAACCTCATCTTATCCAGCGCCCCCATTCCCAGTGACTTTCAACTCTTGACTCACCAAGTCCCACTTCTCTGCAGCAAATTGCTCCTCCTCAGACAATGTACCAATTCGCTACCTAAAGCCATGATGGGACTGCAGTGATTCAAGAAGCCACCTTCTCGAGAGCAACTAGAGTAGCAGAATGAATGATGGCCCAGCCAGCAACATCCACATCCCGTGAATGAATTTTTAAAAAATATTCTGCCCCCTCCACACTCAGGAGTTGCATTGGAGATCCTAATCTAATAGTTCTTCTCCATTAACAGCTCTCGGTTTTTGTCATTCACTAGCAAATGGTGTTCTCTGGTTCTCCAACCTTCCAGCAATGACTGGACCAAAGTCTTTGCTTCTGGACTGTACTCTCACATTTGATGCAGTGTGAAAATCCAGATCATTGCTGACCGCTCTCTGATCAGGGTAGCAATGCCTTTGGCCCCCTCAAACAAAAACTACTATTTTCCTTTATTTTGCAAAATAAAACTGTACTGTGGTCATTTTATAAAATGATAATGCCATGATTGATCCATCAAAAATTCAAACTTTTCAACTGTGTGATTGATATGTAGCTTGAAGCAATGTATAGATAATGATAACTGTTCCCAAGAGTTTCTCATGCATCTTAGTGCTTGTACAGCTTTGATGGATCCATGATGGTTTTGGCAGATATTAGTTACTAAAATAGCCATCAGTTTGATTTGAGTCTGATAATAAAAGCATGTACCTCAATTGTATTTAAACCAGAGTGTAATTGCCATGACAAAGCAGAAGACTGTTACTATGACCAGAGTGTAGCTGATCGCAACCTGAGTTTGAACATACATGGTCAGTACAACGGTGGGGGTGTCTGTGTTAATTGTACGAACAACACTGCAGGCATCAACTGTGAGACCTGTATTGATGGCTTCTACAGACCTCACAAGGTAAATGTTATGTGATATAGAATCCTTCAGTCTCACTCATTTCCTTATTTAGCCAACTCGCTGTACTTACTATTCCATTCTTTCAGCAATGTTGCGATATTAAAGCAATGTATTTCAAATTTTACAGGCATTATTTAAAATGTATTCACTTAAAATGTTAAAATGTATTGATTTTTGTTTAAGTTTGGGGTGGCATTCAAGCTATTATTCCAACAGTGAAGATCTGAAAAAAGTAGAAGTTTGACTTGCTGATAATGTTGATATATTTATATAGGTCTCTCCTTTTGACCGTGATCCTTGCTTGCCATGTGGCTGTAACCCAGCAGGATCTATAAATACTACTTGTGTGAAGGATGATAATCACGCAGTTATAGAACGTGGTGAGTTGATTTTAAATGGGGTTTATTTGCTGTTTTTAATCTTCCATGGGATGTAACCATTGCTGCCATTATGCATTCCTAATTGTCCTTGCATAATTTATGATGGACCACTATCATGAACTGCTGCAGTCCATTTGGTACAGGAACATCCACATGTGCACTTGGGGAAGAAGTGCTGGATTTTGACCCAACGACAGTAAGAGTGGTGATATAGTTCCGAGTCAAGGTGGGTACATTGTTTGGAAGGAAATGTTTTGAAGGTGATGATGCTGCCATACATTTGTTACCGTCTCTTAGATGGTTGAAGGGTTTGAGCTATAGGGAGAGGCTGATTGGCCAGCGCTGTTTTCCCTGGAGCATCAGAGGCTGAGGGGTGAGCTTATAGAGGTTTATAAAATCGTGAGGGGCATGGATAGGGTAATAGCCATGGTCTTTTCACCAGGGTAGGGGAGTCCAAAACCAGAGGGCATAGGTTTAAGGTGAGAGGGGAAAAATTTAAAAGGGACCTAAGGGGCAACTTTTTCACGCAAAGGTTGGTGTGTGTTTGGAATAAGCAGCCAGAGGAAGTGGTGGAGGCTGGTACAACATTTAAAAGCCTTCTGAATAGGTACATGAATAAGAAGGGTTTAGAGGGATATGGGCCAAATGCTGGCAAATGGTACTGGATTAATGTAGGATATCTGGTTCTGTTTCCATGCTATAGCTGTCTATATCTCCACAGCTGTATAGTAAAGGTCACAGGTTTGGAAAGTGCAAATGAAGGAGACTTGGTGATTTGCTGCAGTGCATCTTGTAGATGGTACATACTGCTACTACTGACCATCAGTGTTGGAAGGAGCAAATGTTGATAGGGTGCCTATTAAGTGGCCTTGCCCGAACAGTATATGTTCATTGATAGATCCATTATATTTGCAGAGACTTTGTAAAAGGCCTAAAGCTACAGTATCTGGCTGAATAATAGGAGTAGGTAGAAGACCAGGAAACGATTATTCGACTGATGCTAAAATATAGTAGGTTTCAGTGGCTCAAGCTCTCAAATACCTCCCCAAATCTCTTGTACTTTATTCCACACTACCTGACTTAACTGTTTCTATTCCACATGTTTGTCAGGCATTGCGTAAATTAATTGATTTGATTTTTTTTTGGATTTTGGTTTTATTGTTATGTGTATCGAAATACAATGAAAAGCTTTGTTTACGAGCAGTACAGGCAGATCACAGCAAGCAAAGGATGTACGGATCACAATAGACTTAGAGGCATGCAGGTTACATTGCAGGTTACATTATTTGAGGCTAGAGTCCATTCAACAGTCTGATAACAGCCGGGAAGAAGCTGTTCCTGAACCTGCTCGTGTGTGTTCAAGCTTCTGTACCTTCTGCCTGATGGAAGAGGTTGTAGGGGGTCATTACCAGGGTGCGATGGGTCCCTGATGATGTTGGCTGCCTTTCCACAGCAGCAAGCCGTGTAAATGGGGTCCATGGATGGAAGGTTAGCTTCTGTGATGGTCTGGGGTGTGCACACCACCTTCTGTGTTTCTTAGGGTCCTGGGCAGTGTGGTTGCCACACCAGGCCGTTATGCACCTGGACTATATGCTTTCATTGGTGCATCTGTAGAAGTTGGTGAGGGACCTTACGACATGCCAAATTTTCTGAGCCGCCTGAGGAAGAAGAGGCATTGTGGTCCTCTTAACTGTCGCATTTACATGGTAAGTCCAGGACAGGCCGTCAGTTATTGTCACTCTCAGGAACTTGATGCTGTTCACCCTCTCAACCTCAGTTCCATTGATGTAGATGGGGGCGTGTTCTCCTCCTTTCTTTCTGAAGTCAATGATCAGTTCTTTAGTTTTGAGAGACAGATTGTTTTCAATGCACCACGTCACCAAGCCCTGTATCTCCTTTCTGTGTTTTGACTCAGCATTGTTAGATATCTGTCCCATTACAGTGGTGTCATCAGCAAACGTGTAGATGGCATTCATTCGGAATTTGACAACACAGTCATGGGTGTACAGGGAATACAGTAGGGGGCTGAGGACACATCCTTGGGGGGCTCCAGTGTTGAGTGTTATTGTGAAGGAGGTGCAGTTACCTATCCTCACGGATTGCAGCCTGTGGGTCAGGAAGCTGAGGATCCAATTGCAGACGATGGAGCTGAGACCAAGGTCACGCAGTTTTGAGATCAGTCTGGAGGGGATAATGGTGTTGAAGGCGGAGCTGTAGTCAATGCGCAGGAATCTGACGTAGATGTCTTTGTTGTCCGGGTGTTCCAGGGATGAGTGCAGGGCTAGGGATATGGCTTCCTCTGTGGACCTGTTATGTCGGTGGCCAAACTGTAGGGGATCGAGGCAGGTTGGAGACTGGGATTGATGTGGGCCATGACCAGCCTTTGGAAGCACTTCATGATTATTGAGGTTAGAGCTATTGGGCGGTAGTCATTCAGGCACACTGTACACTTCTTAGGTACGGGGATGGTGGTGGTCTTCTTGCAGCAGGTGGGGACTTTGACTTGTAGGAGGGAGAGGTTGAAGATGTCAGTGAATACCTCCACCAGCTGGTCCTCACAGGATCTGCATGCTCAGCCGGGGACACACGGATTTAGAATTGGATTTAGAATGGACCTGCACCCGTTTTCTCTTGTATTACAAAGCTTTATTTTGATAGTAATGTACAGAAATATCCATTGATTTGCTTTCTAATTTTATTTTGTACTAGGTCTGTTCCCTGGTCAGTGCCATTGCCGAGAGGGTTATGCAGGGAAGACGTGCAGCCATTGTGCTCTGGGTTTCAAGGGTTTTCCCAATTGTGCGCGCTGTAACTGTAGTCTAGCTGGCAGCATCAATGATGACCCTTGTGCTGAGCCATGCCATTGCAAGGTTAGTCGACGCGATCTGACAATGGCACATCTTCTTTACAATCCCTTTCAGTGAAAGAGAAAGTGTGTAAGTTTTGTAAAGACCCAATGACATTTTATCATGAAAATGGACCAAGAGGAGAATGCAGTGCCACGTTTTTGGGTTTTGGATTGGGAAATTGGAAATCTAATGGGCGTCCTCAACCTTGCACTGTGATTTTTGACTTGATTTGCTTGTCCTCCAGTTATGGACAGTGGGAAGGGTCTCAGAGTCAAAAGGATGCTCTCGAGCATTTTAAGAGCTGCAGTTTACAAAACAGAGAGAGAGCGAGGGCATTCAGCAAGTTTAACCAATTTCCTTTTTAATTCGACTATTCCATTCAAAAGGTGTTAAGGAAGGAATTTCTGGGCAGAAACGAAAGTGCATGCCCTTTGTCACAGGGTTGGATTGATTGGAACATCCATCTTCACTCCTCATGTCCTTCCTTTCCAAACAGAAATTCAAAGTCGAGATGTAAAATGGTTAATTTCTGATTAATTCCTGTATCCCAGCCTCTTCTTTTCCCAACCCTATAACATTGATTTGCTTCCTGTGCAAACCAAAAAATGTTGGGCCACTAATTGGAAGGAAACAATTTGGAACTGCTTAGTAACACCAATATTAGATTATGAATCCCTGGGCATCCAGGAGAAGAAAGGAATAAAATGCTCACTGTTCAGAGGCTGGCTTGGTTAATGTCACAGGATTAGATTTACTTGTAAACAAATGTTTCCGGAATGTCATCATTCTAAGGGCAATGTGCAATGAGTCAGAAAATGTTAGAAATGCCCACAGGACAATCAGTGCTGTACCATAATTTAATTATACCTCACTAACTTGTAAAGTACAGAGGAGTTAAAGGGTTTATTTATTCACTCATGAAACTGGTGCACAGAATACCATTTTAGCAGAAGGACAGTTTTTGGCCAGTCTGCATGAATGTTGACCCCACTCTGAAACTGACTCTTTGTGCATCGCACATTTTTTTTGCCTCAATAAGAAGGACAGAGTTTTCTCAGGCTCTTTCATCAGCCCTACAGAAAAAGTAATATTTACGTTTTGTAAACAATAAAACCCGTCATGTGGAGCAGTCAACTTCAAAGCCTTCCAGACACGTGTTGGACCAGCCTTAGCTCAGTGAACCTCACAGGTTGGAGGTTCAGTAACTTAAGCCAAGCATTTTAGACTCAAAACACCTTGAGTGCAGTACTGAGGGAGTGCTGTGCTATAATCTGAACAAGACACTGAACTGACGTCTCACCTGCTTCTGTAAGAGATCCCGCTGTAGAGGAACAGACGAGATAGTCCTGGGATTGTGACCAATATTTATTCCTGAACCTAACAAGTTGAAAAACTGCCAGTCATTACTTTCTGACTATTTGGGAGCTTGCTGTGCAATAATTGATGCTGTGTTTTTCTACATTACAACAGCAGCTTCACGTCATCGGTTGTCAAGTGAGTTGGGTTACCCTGGGGTGCTGCTACGTGATTCTGTCCAGTTGGAAGTTCTTTTTTTGCCACAGGGTTGCTGCTGGGCAAGTTGATGCTACAATTTGGTTCTTCACTAATGAGAGAGCTGTACTCAGAGGCATGCACCAATACCCGCTTCAACACCCAGATAAAGCCTGAGGCCTAGTTTCTACTGAGCCTCAAGTCTGTTGCTTTGAGCAGAGATTGACAACTGGATAATGATGTTTACCCTGTAATCTCTAGTGTACAGACGTTGTGCGATGTCTCATAGTTGGTCTGCTGTCTGCCTTTAAGAGACATTCCCATGGTATCATCACTGCATCATTGCATTTGACCTGAGGGTACAAATGTCTCAGACTCCATTTTAACCTGGATCTATTTGAAGCACAACAAGCTAATGAAAACATACTACACTTGGTAACCTAATAGCTTCATAGTAGCCCATATGCTGAAGAGCGTGTAACTATAATATCTGTATCTACCCAGAGCTGTAGCTAATGCCTGTTGAATCATTCAATACCATGTTATAAGAACAAACAAAGAACAAATAAAATTACAGCACAGGAACAGGCCCTTCGGCCCTCCAAGCCTATGCCGATCCAGATCCCCTATCTAAACCTGTCACCTATTTTTCAAGGATCTGTATCCCTCTGCTCCCTGCCCATTCATGTATCTGTCTAGATACATCTTAAATGACGCTATTGTGCCTGCCTCTACCACCTCCGCTGGCAACGCGTTCCAGGCACCCATCACCCTCTGTGTAAAGAACTTTCCACGCATATCTCCCTTAAACTTTTCCCCTCTCACCTTGAAATCATGAACACTTGTGGCAGCGGTGGGATGCCTAGTTCTTATGTTATGGGAGCTATGCAGCATTTGGTATTAAAAACATCACAGGAAAGAAAGCCCAGACCCTGGTGGCAGTTTGGAAGTTACTATAAGCCTACATTATGAGTATAGTGACACTGAATATTCTCCTAACATCTCTGTCCAATGCTTTAATGGGCGTTCCCAGTTGCATTTGACTGTGACAGCAATGTCTGATACCCTGCTTTCACTGGTGGCTGTTGAGGTTGCAAATGATGCAGGTTATTTATAAGTATGGTATGCACTGCCCTCATTAATTCATGCTCAGACTAAAACAATTTTGAATTACAGAGAAACGTGGTGGGAGAGAACTGTAACCAGTGCAAATCAGGGTTCTACAATCTGCAGGAGAGGAACCCTGAAGGATGCACAGAATGCTTCTGTTTTGGACTCTCTGGTGTTTGTGAAAGCATTTCCTGGTCCATTACACAGGTGAGTGGTGACTGGTTCATGACATGCCTGCAAAGGTTTTATTTACATTTTCCCAAATAGGATAGTTCTCATTTAATTGGAAGCAGATGAAGCTGGCTGTTTTAGGAGCTATTAGTAGTCCAGCACAGTGTATGTATTCCAAGCATCAGGAGAATAGTGCAAGGTGCAGTTTAACTCTACTCTGCTTTTGGAAGGATTTTAACATGCCATTGGCATGGATTTGTAAATGGTCGCTATGCTATATTACAGTAAATCACCTCTGTGCTTCAAGTTGTCAGTTGCTCCATTGTAAAATTGTTCTGCAAGGTTGCACAGTCTATTAAATCTCTCTTTAAACCTTGAAACTGCACAGAAGAAAATTGCACAGCTTTTATAACAATTTCATTGTCTATAAATTGCCTGGTAGTCTCCTGAATTGTTGTATTGGGTGTCTTGGACTTTATAAACGGGGATTTTTATTTTTCTTTTACACCCAGGATTTGATCATTAAACCTTAAGCAAGTCACTATTCCCAGCAAGTGGAATTAACTCCTGTGTCAGCACGAGTCAGGAGGAAAGAATTTTCATTTTTAACTGAGCAGAAAGTTCAAGTTCAATTTAATCTGGATGGACATTGTAGTAAGATGTGGCCTACTGTCTTGTTCGTGAATATGAACAGTCTTTATTAAGCATAATTATTGTGGAGCCCTACGGAATTGGGCTCTAGTTCCATGTGATTGGCTGTTACCTTGACCTAACTGTTTATGTACGTGCTCAGAAGCTATTAGAGTTAAAGATAATAATTAACTCTTTACTCCACAGATACTGGTTCTAGCTTACCAGTACACCACGCAGTTAATGTCCCCTCTAAGCTGAGCAGCACATTCATTTTCAAACTATCACCTTTAAAATAAATAAAATGTTTCTCTCAAACTAGAATTTGTAAATCTTAATTAATGACGTAAATGTGAGTTTTATTTCACTGATACAGTAAAACTCATCACAGCATCTCTCAATCTGACATGTTCTTTTTCTTCAAGACACTGGAGCTTTTAAATTCCCTAGTCCTTTCTTCAATCTTTCAGCATTTCAGTCATGCAATCTATAGACGATGGAGTTAGGGTTAACTCTAACCCTAAAAATGTACCTTCCAACTTAAATAGCTATCATGAGCTACAGGGGAAAATGGTGACGGACTCAATCTCGCTTCTCTTGAGAAGGGAAGGCTTGATTGGAGCAAAGAAGGATGAGAGGTGACTTGATAGAGGTGTACAAGATGATGAGAGGCGTAGATAGAATGGATAGCCAGAGACTTTTACCCAGGGCGGAAATGACTGTTACGAGGGGACATAATTTTAAGATGATTGGAGGAAGTTATAGGGGAGATGTCAGAGGTAGGTTCTTTACACAGAGAGTGGTGGGTGCAAGGAATGCGCTGCCGGCAGTGGTCGTAGAGTCAGATACTTTAGAGACTTTTAAGCGACTCTTGGATAGGCCCATGGAGGATAGTAAGATGTAGGGTATGCAGGGTAGTTTGATCTTAGTAGGATAATAGTGGGCACAACATTGTGGGCCGAAGGGCCTGTACTGTGCTGTACTGTTTTATGTTTTATGATGTGTGACCTGAAAGAGGCTTCAAATTGATGAAAGATTTTGATAGGGTGGGTACAGCGAGAATTTTCACCTTCTGGGAGAGAGTTCAACCAGAGGTCATCAGTGTAATGAAGAAATCCATGAAGGAATTTGGAAGAAACTTCTCACCTAGAGAGTGGTAAGCATGTTGAACTCCCTCCCGTAGTGAGTGGTTATAGGGAATAGGATAGATGTCATGGAGGGGAAATGGGACAAGCTTGTGAGAAGGGAGAAGGCAGCAAATAGTTTCCATGGTAGACTTTGATGGGAAAAATTGGCAAGGAGTACAAGTGGAGCATAAACACCAGCATTGACTGTTTGGGCCGAATAGCCTGTTTCTGTTCCATAAATGCTATCCAATCCTACGTGATTGATTTTCTATGCCTTCTCTTTACTATTAGAGTACGCATTGTAATATGATACACATTGTGGAGTTTGACCTGCATTGCATTGATTTCTCAAACTGACAGTCAATCAATTTATAATTTCTGTCTTTAAATACTTTCCGTGATCTAGCCTCCATAGCTGTCTGGTGTGGAAAATTTCAGACATCCTGAGAGCAATAAAGCCTTTGTATCTCAGTTTTAGATGTGTCCCCTTCTCCTGTAACTGTGTCCCAGAGATTAAAATTCCCTCATTAATAGAAACATTTTCTCAACATTTACCCTCTCCAGCACCCCCTCCGAATCTTATGTGTTTCAATAAGACCACCCCTCATTTTTCTAAATGCTCATGAATAAAGGCCTAACCTGCTTAACCATGTTAACATGGATATGCCCTGGGCAGTATGTGGGGATGAGGGCTCGAGGGCTTTATGATGTTTTATCCTTTAGAAGCTTCAATACCGTGTCGGTACATGGAGGCACCTTAGCACCCAGCATTCATCACTTTCAGTCTGGGTTTTCCAGTCGTACATTCCAATAGATTCCACTCTCATCAGATCAAAGATGTCAGAGCAGACCCAAGAATTCTGCTGTCTCTATACGCCTTCCCCTCTCAGGAAACTGCAAACCATGATATATCAAGAGAGACCAGATCAGTTAGGACTGTATTCACTGGAGTTTAGAAGTATGAGGAGCAATCTCATAGAAACCTACAAACCCTAACAGCACTAGACAGGGTGAGTGCAGGAAGTATGTTCCCAATGACCGGGGAGTCGAGAGCCAGGGTTCAAAGCCTGAAGATACAGGGTCGACCATTTAGATGAGATAGCGAGAAATTTCTTCAGCCATAGAGTGGTGAACCTGTGGAACTCTTTGCCACAGAAAGCAGTTAGAGCCAAAACATGAAATATTTTCAAGAAGGAGTTGAGTTAGATACAGTACTCAGGGCTTAACGGATCAAAGGGTACAGGGAGAAACTGTGACCCAGGTATTATCAGCCATGGTCATGCTGAATGGCAGGGCAGGTTCAACGGGCCGAATGGCCTGTGCCTCCTCCTTTTTTCTAGATCCCTTTTGATCTATGTTCGACATGCCTGAATCCTTCTGGAGCATTTCCTGTGTAATTCAAACACTTCTCACAGCATTGAAATTAATGAGTAGAATCATGTCAGGCTAATCAAATGTTCCTTCCACTTGCATCAAATGTCTCAGGAAACAAGTCAGGGACTACAAAATTATTCTAATTTACTATATTGATGTTCAGGTTAGTAAGGTCACCCACCCCCCCCCTCCAACAATACCTGCACGTTAAACAACATTGCAGTATGTTCGAAGGAATGAGATGTGACTCAAACCTTTTCCAATTTTGAATATTTGTTTCTCCAAAGAAATTATAATGATTACCTTTTCCAAGTTTCTCTTTAAGGCACAATTTTGTATAGTATTCAAGCACTTTCTTTTTGTAAATAAGGAATACCACAGCAGTTCGGTCGAGATTATCATTTCATTTAATTTTCATCAGTATTGTTGACCAGCTCATGAATGACATTAATTATATTTGTATTGTGCAGAATCTTATAAACTTGTAATGCGATGACAAATGTCATGCCACTGACATTTTTATTTTGAAGGTCACGGATGTTAATGGATGGCAAGTGACTGACCCTCAGGGTGTAAAGAAGGTGCAGACTTCTCAGAATTTGTTTGATGGCTCCAAACAAGTGAACATTAACAACACCGAGGCCAGAAAGTCTCTGCCTGCTTTATATTACTGGACAGCGCCAGAACTGTACTTGGGCAATAAGGTAAACTGACCTAGTTTAAAAATTCATTATCCTTGCATTCCTAGTTTCTAAATTCAAAGAATAAACACACTTTGAAATTATTGCCATGATAGGCCAATGAGACAACTGTCATTAAAATTTCAATTATTAAAAGTAGGACATAACTGTAGCGGGAAGGACAGTTCAAGAATGGATATTCATACATACGTTGAATTTAGTAAAATATTCTAACACGCACACCAGGTGTCTATTTACTTCATTAATGGCTGCCACCATTTAGTAACCAAGGAAATGAATCAACACTCACTTGTTTCAAAGAATACTGGCACAAGGGACTGGGGATGAAGAGGACATTTAATTGGGCATATTGTGCCTCCTCCTCAGGTAACTAAGTCCCTGGGTCGTGTACAGTCTTCCCACTTTACCACTGATTGAGGCCCTTAAGGGGTAATTAATGAATTAATGACCAGTTAAGAGCATTAGGATATGGGGTGCAGCTTCCCTCTTCCCCCAACTCCTCGACTTTTCACAGCCATCTCCTCCCCATGACCCTGCTCTGCAAAACCCATCTTGTCGCGCCATCATTTATCTCTGGTCTGTGGCACTGAGCGATGCTGGGCATCTGGTAGGCGTCATTTAGGCAGGTTACCACCTCCCTGCTGGTGCTATTGTCCAAAAGAGCTACCTAACACCTCCCACCCCAGGCACTTGATATCCTGGAAGGTCCTGTGATGCCTTCTCAACTGCCTAATTAGCATGTAGTGCTAGCAGGCTTGGGTGAGGAGGCAGCACAGGTCTCCCACCAGCAGCTAAAACTCTCTAAACATTCCCCTCCCTATTTCTCTTCAGTACTTTGCAAACACCTGCAAAGTTGAAGCTTGAGATCACATGTCCAACAGTGATGTTTGTTCCTCATTTTATTTAGAAATCCTAGCGTCCACATCCGGATCAACCATAAGCCACATGTGTCGAGTGGTAAATATTATCAGACAGTACAGATTGGCAACTCCTTTCCCTGATGGGAGGCAGCCTTGTGAAATCAGAACTCCAAGGACAAATTTCTTCTGGCTTGACCACGTGGCGGGTTCAATAGACATGGATTCAACTGAAGTGGTGGTGTTAGCGGAATATGTCAGGGATTATTGTGCCTGCATTTTCAGCCCCCCGTGATCGGCAGAGCTACCTCAATGGATGAAGTCATTCTGAACCTCACCACTTTGTGTAGCCACAACCAATGCACTGGAAGTCAAAACAGACCCACAGGAAGGACAGAGTAGCAGATGTTTTCAAAGAACATAAAAGCCACCACCTTGTGCCTGTCCAGCTATTTAATGACGTTATCGTTGATTTCCATCCTAACTCTATAACCCTCCTGAGCACTCAAACCATTACATTTTTGAGGCAGAAGGACGATCAATTTTAATTTTGAAACTTACAATTGAGTTACAGCTCAGCAGTATTGTTTTTAAGAGACTGAATTAGAGATTTTCAGTAGCCTTTATGTAAAAAAGTGGTTCCCGGCATCATAGCTGAATAGCCCAATTTTTCCTCCCCTCCCCGCCTTGCCAAGGATTTTATGGAACCTACAGTTCAGGGAAGAGGTGTGTGGAGTGACTTATCCAGACACAATGCAAAGTTTGATCCTTGGACCATGATTTGAAATTAAATCAGCAACATATTCGCAGCATGTTGAAGATCATGCGGCCTGTGGTGGACTCAAACTTGTAATACGTTTGAATATTCATTAACATAAAATAGTCTTCAGTAATTCATAAAGCACATGAGAATCTCAAGATACTGGGTTCGCAGGTGATATGCACCTTTAAAGACTGAATCCTTTGCAATGCATACTTCCCAAGTTCAGCCATGTCCTACGGACTGACATGTTCAGGCTGAATACTAACATGAACGTTTAATTATGAGCGAATGCAAAATAAATTTTTCTTACAATGGAGAATGTTCCTAAATCCCCATAATTGAAGCATATACCAACCATATACATTTAACTCCCTGGCTAAGCTAGTCTCCACAAATAATGATGGTGCACATGGTAAAAAATGTAATGGTGAGATATTTTAATGTTTATAACTTTAATTTTGAAAAATGCCTGAGCCATCTCTATGCTCTCTTTTGTTAGTGACAGTGGAGTTGGCCTGGAAAATTGTGGTTATCCTGTAGAGGCTCCTTGTTTGACCAGGAGACTGCTAAATAGTAGGCCACCTCTAGCTGTGTTTCATTAATGAGAAGCTTTCACAGTTAGAATTTAACTAATATCACATTGGGAATGGTAGACAGTTGACAAAATCCCTGCCATTAGTTCTGGACATGTCTGTGAAGTTTTTCTTTTATCTACTTTACAAATTAATTAATATTTGTTAACACTTTAATCACTGATTAATATATATTAAAAGCCTAGTGCTTGCAACCTGTTCTCAAAATGTAACCCTTCTAGTACAGGTATAATTCTCATGAATCTTTGTGACCTCCAAAACCAATGCATCTCTCCCTGGCTGCAGTGTCCAGTCGTGAATGCCACACTCTAAATTGGAGTCTATAACCAGTGCTTTACTGAAGTGAAGCATAACTTCCCATCATTTGTAGTCTCATCTGCAGAAGACAAATGCCAACACTTGAGCAGACAATACCTCAGGAGTGTGGATTTTCACAAACTGTATGCAGGGTTCAAGCTACATGAAGACTAGAAAATTACTTATTCATTAGAAAATGAAGGTGATGGATCCAATGTAAATAATTATCCTATTTAAATGAGGTCCAAGCCTGCTGGTAGCAAGGCTTCATCTACTTCAATGCCAATGGTGTCTGAGAAAATCAGGCATAGACCACTTTCAGTCACACAGGGTCAGGAGACTAATTAACTCATCCTTGATTACTTCTCATGAGGCTCCTCCTCATCAGCAAAGCTATAAACCAGTCAGAGCTTTAGAATTTAACTGAAGGAAGTCTCCAGTTTGTTCTGAATTTCTGAATTCAGAATTTTGTTCTGAGCCACTGAGAGTCTTCCCAGGCCATTTCAGAGGGCAGTTAATAATTAACCACATTGCTGTGGGCCTGGAGTCAAATACAGGCCAGACCGTGTAGTGGGCAACAGATTTCCTTTCGAGTGGACGCGAGTGAACCAGATGGGTCCCTAAACCATTAGCCTGAACCTCTGAATTTCTAGTCCAGTGAGATTACTATTACATCACCATCTCTCCCTTGTTCTACAGTGTAACAGTGATGGCATTTCCAAAGTTCTTCACTTGAGGTTGTGATATATGTAAATGCAAGCCTGTCTTTCTTTTCCTTGTCAGTTGATTGCCTATGGAGGCTACCTGAAGTTCTCTGTGTTATATGATTTTCCAATGGAAAGCGCTGATAATGAGGTGATCACCAATATTGATGTCATCATTGAGGTAAGGATGCTGGAAACAATTACAAACTGGTACAAACTGAAGGGAACTGATTGCAGAGTGAGAGATAGTAGGAACTGCCGATGCTGGAGAATCTGAGATAACAAGGTGTAGAGCTGGATGAACACAGCAGGCCAAGCAGCATCAGAGGAGCAGGAAAGCTGACATTTCGGGTCTGGACCCTTCTTCAGAAATGGCCCCATTTCTGAAGAAGGATCTAGGCCTGATTGCAGAGTGAGACAACCGTGAGGCTAGAGGTCTATTCACACTGCGCACATTCTCTTCGGGCACAAATTATTATAGGCAGCATACAATTAAAGGGTGGTTCAGAGTAGAGAGGTAGCATGAGTTGGCGATAAGGCTGTAATGTAACCCCAGGGATCTGAGCCACACATGACTACATGACTTCCCCAGAAGATTTATATTGATACACTGTAAAGCAGTACCACATGCAGAAAGTAAATTGGATACAGTTTGAAGTATCATTTTTATTGTCACAGTAATTCATATACAGAATTATGCTATTAAGTAAAAGTGAACCCGTAGGATTTACACAGTTAATCATTTACACTAAAAGCCTACTTAATCCTGGTAAACTCTCATCTGGTGAATCTCATTAAAGCCCCTTTGTTGATGCTGGAAGGCTTTAATGTCCTTTCGTAAACATTAGTGAGCGTCAAATACTTGCAGCGTACTGATAGCTGGCAGGGACACGAAAAAAAACTGCCTAAACACCAGAATTAGCAAAATAACACAAACATTGGTGAGTTGCAAGTTTGTAATCTAATCTCTGGGATTCATTGCTGTAAATTGATTAAATTCCCTCTTGCGATTTATTGAACTGAAGTCCATGATTCAATTACGCCGAGCATGCTGGCTAAGCAGGAGTAATTACAAGAGCACAGTCTCATCAAGAGGTTCAAATGATGACATTAACAAGGAAAGCAATTTGATTTGTCACCCAAATACAAAATTTAATTATTTTCATTGTAGCCACTTACACATGCTCATTTTTCCATGATGTATGTTTCTGAGTTAGAGACGTAAGGGATCAAGCTCCCATATTAAGAATTCAGTGTATAACCCATACTGACACTGCATTACAATATTGAGCAGATTCTGTATTGTCCAACACACTATCCTTTGGATAAATTATTAAACTGAAGCTCTGATTTGTTATTTTGCTACTTTCTTCTCTCTTCCCATGCTTGGCATTGCACCAGGCATAAGAGCTTCCATAGATATTTATTCCTGAAACAGGTTACCAGAAGCTAGACTTTGACAGGTTCCACTCCATATCAATCTTGTCTGACCAGGAGATTCTCCCACTGACTTATTGCAAGGATTTACTGGTCAGTAATCAACCTGTCTAGTCATGTCATGATGGCACTTCTCATGGCCAACAATTCCTAGCATGGGACGTGTATAAGGAGCTTTTGTCCCAGGATCAGAGATGCTGTTGTTCAATAAGATCTCTTTATGATCATTCTTCAGGTGACTGTAGAAGACACAATAGCACCAGCTTTGCTTTCAATCGCTCTCAATTTGTCCTGTGGTAAGGTTGATTGAGAAATAATTCCTCTTTTGCTGAACTGTTGGCACTGCTGATTTGTCTCCCCCTGCCTTATTCCTTGTTACTGCCCTTTCCTTTTTGTTCGGAAGGACATGTTATACTGAAAGAAGTTAGTCAGTTCCTAGAGTGTTGATGAAAAGAGGATTTGCTTTTGAAGCTTTTTGTCTTTCACTCATGAGGCTGCATACAAGAATACCACATTTGAAAGGGAACACCAATTTTGCTACATGGGGAAAAGTCCAGTTGCGAACCAATCAGCACCCTTTTTTCTCATGCTGAAGAAATTGTTGTTCCCTTTGAAGTGTGGTATTCTTCTATCTGTGCTGATGAGTGGAAGGCAAAAATCTGCAGCAGCATGTTTCATCAATGTTCTCCTAAATTTGGGTGCTGACATCTTACTGATAATAATTGAGAAGGTTGTAATTTTATCCAATTGGCATTGATTGAAGATGGAGAAGGATAAAGAATAACATTTAATCAGACACCATTTAGCCAACTTCTGCATTTCTTCCAGGGGCAGATTTTGCTTCATTTGCTAACATTAAAGTACCTCATATACTCACCCTGACATATTAGTTTCAGTTCACAAGGAGGGATAAGTATTCATCCGGTGGCACAAAAACATTGAAATTCAGCATCATCATTGTATCTATGTGAAGTTGCCATTACAGATTTGATTGGCAGGCTATGTTGTAAAAGATGTGAGCCTTTTCTTTTTTTTTGAACGTTTGGTAAGGCTAACTCTCACCTCCAGCTCAAACAGTCGTTGTTCATTTTTCATTATAACCTTGCATACTTCATCTAGCCTTTTATGCTTTATTGCAATATTAAGGAAGGGTTGCGTTGTCAGAGCTGCCATCTTTCTTGAAGATGCATTCAACTGTATGCACTGGTGGTTCATATCAATGCAAAAGATCCCATTAAGCTATTTCTTCTAATCTCTGGTCCAATATTGTTTCTTCACACTGTAATGTTAAGGATAAATTAGCTGTTCAGTCAACTGCATGCTGCTTATGGGCTTTTGGTGTATGCAGGATAACTGTCACATTCTCCACCTATCAAGAATGTGCTGAAACATGCCTGTTTGAGGGTCTGTTTAATTTAGGTACAGTATTGTACAGTAGTGTTGTGGTGAAAGGATAGAATCCCTGAATAGCTTGCCCTGAAACTCAGCGTTAAGACCCCACTTCAGGACTTGATGGCCAAAGAAGGTCCTTCATTACAAGAACAATCGAATAGCTGAAGGTAAGAGTGGGAGAGATTCTTGATTCACCATTTGACGAAAAGCATATTGGAGCATTACCATCACTGTCCAAAACCTCAGACTACAACATGCTTGTTAAAGTTCTGATGAAGGGTCACTGAACCCTAAATGTTATCTCTGCGTTCTCTCCACAGATGCTGCCAGACCTCCTGAGTTTATGTTTCTGTTTTGATTTCCAGCATCTGCGGTTCTTCGTTTTATTTTTAAGCTTGTAAAAGTTGTGTTTGCCACAGTAACTTGGGCTCCTTTATGGAGGGAGTTGGTTCAGTTGACTGGATCGACAGTATGGATCTGACTGGTGCCAACAATACACTGTTAGATCCCTGTTTGAACTGGAGTGGATTGGGAATCCATCTTTTTAGCCCCTATGCATGGTGAAGGATGTGGATCAGAACTGCCTTCAGCCAGGGATTCCCCAAAAGAACAAAATGCTCTCATTCATTTTGAAAGATGATATTTTGTACATTTTGCTTGTTTAGGGCAATGGGCGAACACTGAGTACAGGGTCTGAAGGCCTCCGGCTCCAACCATATGAAGAACAATTGGTTTCAGTTCAACTCTTACCCGATAACTTTGTGGACCTTAATACAAATAATGCCATCGACCGAGATCGACTCATGACTGTTCTAGTAAATGTAACACGGTTGCAGATCAGAGCCACATACAACATTGCCAAACAGTTTGTGTACAGGTGAGTGTGCACGTTCAACTCGTGTAAAGAAATACCAGAAAGACTAGTTCAAATCCCACCATAACAGCTGGTGGAGTTTACATTTTAGAAGCAAATCTGGCATTAGAAGCTAAGCCCACTCATGTTTTACCATGACTACTATCGTTGATTGTTCCAAAGATCCATTGGGTTCACTGATGTTCTTTTATAGAAGGAAATCTGCCATCCTTACCAGGTCTGGCTTACATGTGACTTCAGGCCCACAGCAATGTGGCTGACTCTTAACTGCCCCCTGACATGGCCCCAGCAAACCATTCAGTTCAAGGGCAATTGGGGATGGGCAAGAAATGCTAGTCTTACCTGAGAATGCCACATTCCATGAAAGAATAAAGGAAAAAAGATGACATAGTGTCAAAAGGAGTGGGATGAGAATTGTTACAGGTTCAGAGCCTTGCCTTCCTTGTTATTTCAGAGATGAAAGTGTAAGGCACACAAGTAAGCTGTGTCAGGCGGTCTTGCATGTAGAAGCATACCAGACAGCAAACATCTAGGTGTGACTTCATATAGTCAAGGCTGCAATGATCCTCGTGATTTAAGCCGGGCGATCATGCCCTTTCAAACTTCAAAGACAAAGTGGTATGTGAGATGTTGATTGATGCAGGTCTACTTCATGGCAAGTGTATGTGGACAGCAACAATTACAATTTGAAAAATTATAAAAGATAATAACCATGCCTTATGTTCCATATCAATGGTCCATTCTGCTTGATGTAAATCAAACAGTTTCTAACCAGCTCCTGTTGGTCCCTTCTGATCATGTTCTTGCAGCTTCAGATTTCACAAAATCACTGCCTGCAACAGTTTCGCTGGACTTGACTAACAGCTAGCTTCTATTTTTATTTTAATCTCCCTTTAATCACAGCCAGAAAATAAACAGGATCTTTCCCACACAAAGTGTAAGGGAACGAAACATCCCAATTTATTTTTATAATTTCGCCTGTGGGGAAACAACATCAAATCTTATCTCAATAGTTTCATTGCCTGTTGTAGCTATGTCCTTTTCAATTTATTTGAAAAAATTTATTTAAAATCTGAACAATTTTAAATATCATTATTTTTCTCCAAATTTTTCTGTGAAATAGCATTCAAAAAATTCAAATTTTTGAGATTTGACTGATATGTAACAAATAGTTATTATGCCAGGGGAACCGAGGGTTGTTGAACAATTCGTTGAAAAATTGTCAAAAGCAATGCTATCTTCAAAGTATCAAGTTGTATTTGAAACCATACTTCAGTGTAATGCAGTGCCTGTAGTATTTTAAGTTGCAACCAGAGGCTGTGAGATCAAATCCCAGCATAGTACCTTGTGAAAATCAGTTCAATCAATCAGCTTGCTTGAGGGATTACACAAGGAAAAATGTTTATGGCAGCTGCCATATTATTGTGAAAAACTAACTGGTTTATTAAAGCTCTCATTTCTTCTCCATTTAGTCTACACGAGGCATAATCCCAAACTATAACTCTTAATGACTTCTGAAATAGCTCAGCATGACACAACATTGAAGAAGCAATCATTTCTCCAGTACAGGATCTATTACCAGCTTCTCAGATGGAGGGTGGAAACGCTGCGATTTTATTCACTCAGTTTTTAATTCTCCTGTTTCCTCAGTTTATCCAGACCCTGTCTTTCACACTACCCACTCTCAGTTCATAGGGACACTTTCCATCTTTCTCTACTATAAAGTATCATTCGTAACTTCTGTTTCCTTCTTTCTACCCTTGACGGTTATCTGCTTGCTTTTCATTCCAAAACCACTCCAATCTGTTTCTGTCTTCTCATACATTTTGCCCCTTTGCCCTTTCCATGTTGTCAGTTCTCACTATGCACCCGGACCCTCTGGCTACAATCCCCACACTCGCCATACATTCTAGCCTTTTTCTGATGTTCTCCCATCCACCCCTGTGAATTGTTAATCATTATTTTCTTTCCCTAGCCATTGCCATAAATTCTGTCCCTTGGCATTCATTTCCCTCTCTGTCCCTTTCCCAAATCCAGGAGCCAATATCCCAGTAGGTCTCTCACCATTCCTGACATTGGCCATGTTTGATGGCCCTGTGTGCAGTAGGTCAGAATTTTGGAAGTATGAGAGTTTGAGCCTATTACCGATTCAGTCACCAAACCTGGCCATCAGTGTAATGGGGAAGTAGAAACTGTCAATACTTTAGCCACTAGATTCTAATGGAGTTATCAAACCTGACTGTCAGTGTAATGGGGAAGTAGAAACTGTCCAGTAGTCTAGCAACTAGACTCAAAAGGAGTGGGATGGGACAGGGGTGGGGAGAAATGAATAGTTTATTTGCAGTGATTTAGATAATCACCATCATTTCTTTTTGTCTAAAGCTGTAGATATGGATGATGTGCACCAGTTATAAATCTGTATATCTGCGCTTAAACCAAAAAACTGAGAATGGCAAAGTATTGTTTAAATGGAGTGGATTGGGACATGTAGATGTACAAAGGGACCTAGATCTCCTTGTACACCAGTCATTGTGAGCCTGCATGTAGGTCCAGCAAGTAGTTAGGAAGGCAAATGGTCTGCAGCCTTCATTGCAAGGGGCTTTTAGTACAGGTCTGAGGAAGTTCTACAGCAGCTGTACAGGGCCTTGGTTTGATGACTCCTGGAGCATTGTATGCACTTTTGATCTTGTTATGTAAAATAGGATAGTATTTAACAAATTGCAAGCACAGCAAAAGTTCACTGGAATGATTCCTGGAATGAGGAGAGATTCCCACTGTATTCACTGAAGTTTAGAAGAATGAGACAGGATTTCATTGTTTCATATAGAATTCTAACGGAGCTGGACAGACCCTATGCAGGAAGGATGCTCCCCTTGGCTGAGGGACGAGAAGAAGAGGTCACAGTCTCAGACTAAAGCATAGACCATTTTGGACGAAGACGAGAAACTTCTTCACTCAGAGGGTGGTGACCCTGTGAAATTTTCTATCACATAAGACATTGGAGGCCAGTCACTGAATATATTTAAGAAGAAAGTAGTTTTGTGGTACTGAAGGCACCAGAGGTATGGATAAAGATTGAGTTGAGATGGAAGATCAGCCATAATCATGTTGAATGGCAAAGTGAGCTCAGTGGGCTAAATGGCTTACTCTTGCTCCTATGTTTCTATAGGTGACTATTGAAGTGTGACCCAGCTTCACGTTTTGACATAGGTCTCACAGTGCAGCAGCAGAGGGTCACTTGCAGGGTATGTTTAATATTCGTTTTATCCCAATGGAATGCAGTCAGAATTATTTTACAGGTGTGTGGTTCAGCTTCCAATGCAGGATGCATTTTCTATTTAATTCTTTATTTTTCCTCTCAAGTGCAAGTGGGCAATGGTTATATGTGCCCTGAAAACCAATCATTGATCCACCTCACTTTGTAAAATGGTATGTTGTACTTTCAGGCTGAGTTCAGTCACGTTGGATGTTGCAAACCCCAATGCCATCGACATTCTTCCTGCAGTCGATGTTGAACACTGTGAATGCCCAGCAGACTACTCTGGCATCTCCTGTGAGGTAATACAGAAAACTCTCGTCCTCTGTTTGTATCCTTTACCAATGTGCTTAGTGGTAGGTGGAGGATATTAAAGGAAAGTTAGCGTTCTTGCTGCAGACAACTTTTGTGAATGTGGTCGTATTTAGGCTTCATTGTCTTTTTTTAGAGCTACTCATGCTCCCTGAGCACAGTAGATTATCAGTAACTAAACTATGAGCATTGTAGATCTTAAAATATTCAGAGATTTATCCTGAACAACTCAGAATGACATGCACTTCTATATTATTTGAAGTCAGAAATCACACGACACCAGGTTGTAGTCCAACAGGTTTATTTGAAATCACAACTTCTCGGAGTGCTGCCCCTTTGTCAGATGAAGTGACTTGCCAAAACAGACCTCATTAAATGTGTTGTCACTGATCTATGTACTTTGTTAATTTTCTTCCTTCATTTTCTTCTGTGTGTTTATCATCCTTTCCACGATATAGTCACAGAGTGTGACAGAAGTAGAACTGGTTATAACTTTGCAAATGGAATTAGATAAAAGATTGCTGGACTTTGGAAGAAAGAGTAGGGACTATAGCTATCTATGATTCTCTGATAGATTTAGCTTCATAGGTCAGGTACTTTAAAACATTCCTTATTCAAATAACTCCTTGCATGAAAATCCTTCTCAACCCCTATTTCTTTTGTCTATACATTTCTAGTCCTGACTTTACCCAATTTTTAGTATTAGTTTGTCATCCAGTTACAATAATCTTTCACTTTTTGAAAAAAAGTTCAAACATTTGTGTTAAATTCCCTTGCCCGGTTCTGAGCTAATGACCCTACTGATTTAAATTCGTCATTTCGCCCTGTCTATCATCGTGCCCCACCAATCATCGCACCCCACCATCAAAGTTAATCTTATTCATCTGTAGTTCCTGGTCTGATTTGCAATTTTCCAATCCTCTGGCACCATCCCTAAATCCAGAGAAGATTAGAATTGCCACTCTCACTTCCTTCAATATCCTCAGATGTATCTCATCTACTCCTGGTGTCTTAGCAATGTAAGTACCAACTGCTTAGCCAATGTCCCCTCTGCATTACCACAGGACTGAGATTCTCCCCTGCCATCATCAGTATCTGCCTCATAAGTAAGACAGATGCAAAGTATTCACTTATAGCCATGTCTCTTGCCTTGAAATGTAAATCCCTTTATTCCTCCTTTTACTGTTGTCGTGCTTATAGAAGACTTTGGGATATCCTGTAGTGGGCAGTTTTATTTTATAATCCCTCTTTGCTTCTTATTATCCCACCTCTCTTCTATACCCAGCTTGGTTCACAACTATATATATTACCTGACACTTGTCAGAGCACCCTTTAACTTAATTTCTACCTGCTTTGTCATTCGGGGAGCTCTGGACTGTTTGTCCCATCTTTCCCTTTTGTGGCAATATGCTTTGACTGAACCTAAACCATCTGTTCAAAGGTGGCCCCTTGTTCAGCTACTGTTTGTCCTGCTAACCTTTAGTTCCTGTCTGTCCAGACCAGCTCTCTTCTTTCCCCAACTCCACCCTGCGCCAGTTGATTATTCTTTCTCAGAATTGACCAATGTTGCCTTTTTTTTTAAACTATCATCTCACACCATCTAATACAATGATCACTATCCTGTAAGTGTTTCCCCACTGTCATTTGATCTACTTGGCCAACCTCATTCCCAAGAACCAGGTCTAAAAGTGACTCATTTCTAGTTGGATTGGACACTACTGTTGTAGGAAATTTGCTGAACACAACTGAAGAATGCTTAATGCTCACTACCCTTACAGTACCATATCCCCAGTTGATATATCTGTAACTAAAGTCCTCTTTATAACTAATCTGTGATGTTTAGATTTCAATGTAATTTCCTTGCAGATTTGTTTCATTCCCACAAGCAGGTGGTCCATAGATTATGTCGAGAAATGTAATTGCACACTTCTTATTCCTTAGCTGTAATCAAATCGATTCAGTCCTTGAGTCCTCTGAAGCATCATTTTTCTCCATATTGCAATGCTCTCCTTCAACAAACAATACCACTTCTTCTGCTCCTTTTTTCCCTCCTTTCCCATCTTTTCTGAACCGCTTGTAACCACCAATGTTTAACACCCAGATCGGCCCTTCCTTAAGCCAACTCCACGGTTATCGCCTCAACTTCGTAATTGCACAAGGCAATCAGTTAACCATACTCCATGCGTTCATACATCTAGTCTTTCCTCAGTTTATTTCTCAATTCTTAACACTCATTAGGAGATACCTGTTGGTCCCATTGTTTGTCATGTTTGTCACATATCCCATTGCCCTTACCTCGCTGTCGGCAGCTCACACTTCCAGGAACATTCACAATAAACGCTGTTAGAGGTAAAGGCTGAAGGAAAGAGATCAACAAATTGGGCATGTCATGAGATGCCCCGTTTGTATTCAGTTTGTCAATTCAGTCATGCAAATTTGCACATTTAAAATAGTTTCAGTGATTTGTCTGCCGATTTGTGATTGTAATTTCTGTCCCCAGTTTTGTTTCCCTTTCTGTGCACATTCCTGAGTTTCTCTTATTTTCACTTTCAAACAGTAGCACACTTGGCACATCTTTTGTTTCTTTATTCGCCACGCCTCACTGGCAAAGGAACAGGCCATTCAGCCTGCCAAGCCTACCCACTATTTAATATGATCGTGACTGATTGAACGTTTCAGTTGCTTTTATCCACACTGTCCCTGTGACCCTGTATGCCAGCGATGATCAATAATGTTCGGTCTGTTTCCTGCCCTTGCTGCTTGGTATAACCGAGCAGGAGCATGCTTGGAAAGATGTGACTTCGGCCAGGACTGTACCTCGACTTTATTAGCATCACGCGCTCACCATTTGACCTAACAAGCTGCCATCCACAAACCTTGTAGATCCGAGTCAAGAGATACAGGTTCAAGTCTTACCTGCTCCAGAGGTGGGTAGTAACATCCCTGACCAACTTAAGCTCTGCTTCTACACATTAAGCTCAAGCATCAGCTATGTAGTGGTTTGGCTACATGACCATAATCCATCTCCATTCTCTTTGGTGCTGGAAGACTAACTCTTTTGTCTTTCAGTGTCTTCTGCCATCCAGCCCATCACAGATCTTCCTTTTGTTACTTGTCCCATCTCCCCCCTTGCTCAAATTTTATTGCATCTCCACCTTTCCAAGTTTGGACACAAGGACATGGAGCTGAAATGTTGATTCTCTACGCAGGCACGGCGAGCCAGGACCTTCCAGGATTTGCTGCTTCCATTTCAGATTTCCAGCACCCACAGTATCCTGCTTTCCCTTTAGCAGTTCCAGGCCTGTTGAAGGATTAGCTGCAGGTCACTCTGATAAACAGGAAAAAAAAAATTATACCAGCATGTCCCATTTTTGGAAGTGCACGGAGAAGCAGGAATGTGTCCATCTGCTGCAAGTCCCTCCATGCTTTATACCTCCCGTGGAAGAGCCCCAGTACATCTCTTGGCCAAAGTACCCTGTGGACCCTGAAGATGACTGGGGCCTCTCACTGATGCCACCTCATGTACAGTGTGTCCTCTGCACTCATCACCTCCCGAGTATGCATCTGAAATAAAATGTAGCCCAAAGAGCAAGATTGTGGAATTTTAAACAAGTTTCTACACTATTCCTCACACTATTAATTTAGTCGTGACTTCCAAACATAGCACTGTGTCTTTCCAGATATTTGACAGACATTTTTTGGTGTAATTCTCAGTTCTTTTATGATCTATGCAAGTAGGTATCCCCGACCCACACTTTAACCATCAACGTGCACATGGGGAATTGCTAACATTACACCTGAACCACTTCAGAACAAAACGAAGGAATCTGCTGCAGTATGCTATAAATTACAGTGGAGAATGTTGGAATGTTGAGAGCCAACAGAAATGCTTCACAATGGGAGTTTTGTACTCAGTTATTCTTTTCAACAGTCTTGTGCCCCAGGTTTTTATCGTGTCGATGGAATATTATTTGGAGGAATCTGCCAACAGTGTGAATGCAATGGCCATACCACAGAATGTGACACTAACGGCACTTGCTTGGTAAGTTCAAGGGACTACGATGTATCTAATGTACAGGCAGATATAAGATGAAATCCTAATAAAGCAGAACCTCATGTCACACTGCAATCGGTTCTTGCACAATTTCATATTTCCTTGTAAAATTCTGCTTAAATAAGGATGGTACCAACAAACAGGAACTTATGGGAAGGTCTTTCATGGCAATTAAAAACCGAAAGAACTGCAGATGCTGTAAGTCAGAAAGGAAACCAGAAATTGCTGGAAAAGCTCAGCAGGTCTGGCAGCATCTGTGGAGAGAAATCAGAGTTAATGTTTCGGGTCGAGTGACTCTTCTGAGAACCTGTTCCTCGGTTCTATTTAAGGATCACTCAACCCGAAACGTTAACTCTGATTTCCCTCTACAGATGTTGCCAGACCTGCTAAACTTTTCCAGCAATTTCTGCTTTTGTTTCTTTTATGGCATTTGTCGGGCCTTTGACACATTGCTTTTCATATGGGCTTGCTGTGTGCGTATTTGGCTGCCTCTACAATACAAAAGGGGCACACTCCTGAACTATTTTACTGGCCTTAAAACACTTTTGGATGTCCTGATTTAGTGACTTATAATTGCAAGTCTGCTCCTTTTCCACTTATTACCAGAGCTGTCAGCACAACACAATCGGACACAATTGTGACCAGTGCATCCTTGGATTATATGGTGATCCCAGCAGAGGGACGAGTGAGGATTGTCAGCCATGTGCTTGCCCACTGAACATTTCCTCTAACAAGTAAGCCTACTGTGCTCTGTATTGCAAGGAAGGTTAATAAACACTGTTGCCTTAGTAACTCTAATTGTGGTAATAAAGAGAAAATTCGCACCAAAATTGACAATTAGAAGATCCTTTCTGCACGAGCATTTTATGTGCTTGAAAGTATGATGCATAGCACATGATGTCCCGCAGAGGCATAATGACATTTCACAATGTAGAATAAATTACACGATGTTCTCTAAGCTGGCTGTAAAGTATTGCGATACGCTTAAACCATTGTCCAGTCTGCAAATGTAGGCACCATACTGAAAGCCAAGATTTTTATGTGAAATTATTGGTTATGGAAGCAGATGCTTTAGGTTCGGTTGTCATTTGGATACTTAGCGCATCAATAAAATGATAATGTTTATTGAAAATAAACTCCCAGTTTTGGCACTAGGCTTGGCACCCTTTGGGAATGATAGAAGTGATAGTAAGCTGGAATAATCATTCAGAATAGACAATTTATTTAAACCTAACTACCATTTGTTAATTAAAAGAGCAGAACATTTTTACCATCTGATTTAATATCGTGATTGAAGTAAAGCTATGTTATAGTTCACTGATGGAGTTTGATTTGTTGCGGTAACGCATGTGTTGGAGTCCTGCAGCTATGATTAGTGATTCTAGAAGCTTCACTAAAAATCAAGTAATGGAGAAACTCAGCAGGTCTGGCAGCATCTGTGGAGAGAGAGAGAGGCAAGAGCTAATGTTTCAGGTCCAGTTCTGAAGAAGAGACATATCAGATTCAAAACATTAACTCTGTTTTTCTCTCTCCACAAAGGCTGCCAGACCTACTGAGTCTGTTTGGCATGTTCCAGGAATCCCAGCATCTGCTGTATTTTGCTTTTAGTGGGATTTTGCTTTTAGTGGCACTAACTGATTGGGAATCTCTGGCGCTCATACTGGCTGCCATTGGCAATTTGCAAGTTGCCAAGCAACCTGTTTGATCGCATTAGAGTGCACTATTCTCATGTTGTTCGTTATTTCTCTAGCTTCAGCCCCACCTGCTACTTAAACAAAACAGGAAGCATCATTTGTGACCAATGCCAGCCAGGCTATGCAGGGACCAGATGTGAAAGGTAATTGATTAAAAACGATGGAATGTTGCTTAATCGTTTTCAATTAAAGGGTGAAAACACCTTCTCTTTCTGATTGGTGAGCTCAGGGGTAGGAGGGGCATGGATTACAGCATTGTTCTGATGTAGCTGAATCCTGCCAAATTGATGTTCTAGGTGGGGAGGCCTAGGGCTGACCTCCCAACCCTGGTGCAAATTGGAGGACTTAAGTCACTGAAAAGTGGCCACTTAAAAGTTCACCACCTCCGCCATTGGCATTAATCCAGCTGCAGTCGTGCCTGTTACAGTACAACTTGTCGTGAAGTTAAAACGGTGCGATTGGCGTCTTCGTACCCACCTACCCTTCCCTTCCGGGGGCGGAGAGGAAAGGGCTGAGGAAGCGGAATGGTGGAGGAGTCTCTCAAAGACAGTCAATGCCTGATCAAGGGATTGGACATCAGGAGGGAAAGTGGGGGCCCACTTAGAGCTACCCCCTTGTCCTTGTTACCATTTGCCCTACATTCACCTCCCTGAGAATGAGACCACAGCTCCTGTAAAACCAGACGTGAAATCCCTCCAAGAGTGTTTTTGAGGATAATTGTTTCCATCAAAGACCAGTTTACAGCAGATGGAGTCCGAGTCGTGTGGCATGGAAACAGACCCTTCGGTCCAACTAGTCCAGGAGAGGAAGCATAGAAAATAGGATCAAGAGTAGGCCATTCAGCCCTTGAAGCTTGCTCTGTCAATTGTTATCATGGTCAATCATCCAACTCAATGCCCTGTGATCCCTTTAGTCCTAAGAATTATATCTAACTCCTTCTTATAACGATGCAATATTTTGACCTCAGCAGCTTTCTGTAGTGGTGAATTCCACAGGCTCACTGCTCTCTGGGTGAAGAAATTTCTCCTTATCTCAGTCCTAAACGGCCCACCCTATATCCTTAGACTGTGACCCTGATTCCTGGACTCTCCTGTCATCAGGGATATCTTTCCTGTGAAGATCTAAGACTTGCATCGATATTTGGACACCACCAGATCTCTCAAAGCATTTTTACAGCCATTGAAGTACCTTTTGAAGTGTGGTTACTATTGTAATGGGAACTAATTTGAACACCCCAAACTCCCCCAAATAGCAATGTGACAATGACCATATAAATTGTGTTTTTTCACCTTTAGTTGAGGGATGAATATTGACCAGGGTTCTAGAAATAGTGCCACAGGGTTTTTAACTTGAACATGCAGATGCACCCTTGGTTAATGTGTCACCTGAGAAACAGCACCTCCAACAGTGCAGCATACCCTCAGCCCCACAATTGAGTGTCAGCTTCGATTTCTGTGCTCAAGCCCTGGGGTAAAGGCTCAGTAATGATCTGACACTTGCAAGTTAACTGCTGATTTAAAATATAATCAATAATTTGTGCCCTTCACTAAAATCCATAGAATCCCTATAGTGTGGGAGCAGACCATTTTGCCCATCAAGTCCACATTGACCCTCTGAAGAGCAGCCCACCCAATCCCTGTAACCCTGCATCTCCCATGGATAATCCACCTGACCTACACATCCCTGGACACCATGAGCAATTTAGCATGGCCTGTCCACCCAACCTGCACATCTTTGGACTGTGGGAAGAAGTCAGGGCACCCGGAGGAAACCCACACAGACAGTCACCCAAGGCTGGAATCGAACCTGGATCCCTGGCACTGTGAGGCAACAGTGCTAACCACTGAGCCATCGTGCCACCCCAATTAGATGTTCCAATTCCAAATGCTTAATTCAGGAACAATTGCAGATGATTGAACAAAAACTACCTTTGCAGTTTTAGTTTGAAGTTTTATAATTGGTTCACCAGTGGGTTTTAATGGACGAACGCCAATATGATGACCTTCTGGCCTCAACCTTGTAAGAGATTCTACAAAGGTCATGCTGAACCATATCCAATCACAAAGGGTTGTGAAACTCATTTGTAAATTCTCTTTCTACAGGTGCGCTGATGGTTACTATGGAAATCCAACAACACCCGGAGAGTTCTGTGTGCCGTGTGACTGTAACGGCAACGTTGAGGTGTCAGTGCCAGGAAAATGTGACCCTGTGACAGGAGAATGTCTGAAATGTATCGGGAACACAGCAGGAAGGTGGTGCGAACAGTGTGCGGAGGGGTTTTTCGGTGATGCAGTTGTTGCCAAAAACTGCCGCAGTGAGTAAAAAGGCAAAATGTGAGGCAAGAGGGGAAAGGGAAGAATGTTTTTTTGTTTAAAAACCCCATTAGAGTATCTTTCTCGCAGTTTTTTTTGGAGGCAGAATGTTATCTAAGATGGAAAATGCCTGGCCTTAAAGGAAACCTGCGTGTGATAGCACACCCTCCAGGAAGCTGGTCATTGTAAACACTTCAGGGTGAAATGTCACAGCGTCAGCACTGTGGCCTGTTTCTGGGGCAGGGAGAGGCAGGAATCAGAGATAGTCAGGCAGTGGACATGGTGCTGCTGTCATGGTAACTACTTAAAGGGGCTCCTGCCTTCATTCTCAAGCTGAGGCGGGGTAGTGGAAGTGGGGATTGCTGTGAATTAATAGAATCCCTGCAGTGTGGAGGCAGGCCATTCAGCCCATCAAGTCTGCACTGAACCTCTGCAGAGCATCCTCCCCCCACCCCTGTAACCCTGCATCTCCCATGGATGATCCATCTAACCTGCATATCTTTGGACTATGGGAGAAAACTGGAGCACTCAGAGTAAACTGACGCAGACATGGGGAGAATGTGCAAATTCACACAGACAGTCGCCCAAGGGCGGATTTGAATCCAGGTCCCTGGTGCTGTGAGGTAGCAGTGCTAAGCACAAAGCCAATGTGCTGTCCCCACCTCCAGCTCAATGTTTCTGGCTGTTCACCTGAACATTGACATGTTTCCCCTTGTAACCTACACTTGGCCAATTTGAACATTTAAAGCAGCCTCAATAGTTATAGCTGCCCTGCTCTGGGTGTTTTCCACCTGAATGCTCCATGTCAATGAGCTTTGAGCCAAACGGGAAAATATTAGAGCTTTATTACTTTAAAGGGAGTAACGGAGCTCAGGAGAAGAGTGAGTGAAATGAGACTTGTGGTCGAATGGTCTGTGAGTGTGTTGAAATGATAGGAAGCATTTTTGTTCAAGACAAATGGGGTCTGTCAATGGAACAAGTAAAAGGAAAAAGCCTCTTTTCTTTAAAACTTGGTGTTTTGAAAACACACACACACACAAGCAGAAACACACACACGCAGACACACACACACACACACACACACACACACACACACACACACACACACACACACACCT